TCAGTTTGTCTTGCGCATGAATAATCCCATATCGATTGAAAAATGACAGAAGTTCATAAAACAAGACAACCGCATCCCGTATTGGAAGTGGTATCGATACATCACCAGGTCATCCCCATATATATCGATCGCCCTTTCGTCTGGATGAGCAATCCACAACTGAGTCGTAGCTTGAAAGATAAAAGTCTTTTCAATAACAACGACGTTTGACGACGGTATAAGGGAAAATTTAGGAGAGGACACCAAAAATCTGAGGGGTCCTCTCCGGAGCCACATGAGCAACGTGGATTAAATGAAAACAAACCAAGGATAGAGGAGATCTAAGAGCCTGAAGGGGAAAGTCAAAAGGCACACACTTAGGCTCCCACCCCCCACCCCACCCCCATACTCGTTTATAAAAAACTCCACGAAAGATAATACATCGCACACAGGGACCGAGACAGACGTATTGTCCAACACATACATCCAAATTTACGAAAAATAAAATAAATGTTTTATTTATCACAAAAAAACATGATTACATTAATATATAGTTTGACAAAAAATACTTCACATACTAATCTTCAACCACCTCAGCCAGAATTGAGCCCCTTATAATCAACCTCCCAAACAAAATCTGGTCATAAATTTGAACTGGTTTACTCATTCGGCCTTAGAACTGACCTTCATGATAAGACAATTATCCCAAATCCCATCAAACTTACAAAGAAGAGCAGCTGCCTCCCCGTGCATCTCCTCTGGTCTGACTTGTAGATCTCGATTGTGGCAGGCCAGAATCACCTCCATCTCAGTCAAATGGTGAACTAAGGCCCTCAAAGACGGTCAATAAGCCTCAACAGTCTCTCTTCAAACTGCATCAGGTTCTGCAGCACCACTAAAAACTTTTGGCACCCCATGACTGGTTCATTGGAGCCTGAAACCATGCGAAGGATTGGGCCACCAAAGCCAAAGGGATAGGAAAAGAGAGATGGTCCCCTTAGGGCCAAAGACCTGACCTCCTGACAGATGATTGGCAGGTTTAGCGTCATTCGGCCACACAACAACCCTAAACTCTCCAATCAGCCATCTGAAAGGCCAGATGACCGTATCTCACAACTACATGACTCGAGTTCAAGCATGGACTAAAGTAAACCCACCGTACCTATGTTCCGTAGTGGCACAATATGTAATAACGTGTAGACCCTTTCCTATAAATAAAGGGTCAATTTCATGAATAAAGATTACACAATTTTTACTATAGAATATGAGCAACGAGGATTAAATGAAAACAAACCAATGATAGAGGAGATCTAAGAGCCTGAAGGAGAAAGTCAGAAGGCACACACATAGGCTCTTCAGCTAGCGGACGTCACAACCACTTCAGCTAGCATGTCCGCCTCCTTGGCCAACCTAGCCAAGACCTTCGCTCATTCCGTGGCCGCAACCCACTTAATTTTAGTGAACTCTAGGACCATCAATTGAAGATGGAAGGCCTCACACACTTTTCAAATGGTATCAGCAAACCTTCTTAGGTAACTTGGGACGCTCCAATTACCACAACGACTGTCCAAACGTCGACGACCAGACATCCTCTAAGAGCGCAAAAAGGGAAAGTTTTAGGAGGAAAGCCAGAGCGACAATCGATCGACTGGTCAATTGTGGTGAATCGGCCGTCAGAGGAATTCTAAATTTTCGCTCTGGAGCTATGAGAAGGAAAATCGCTTCTTCTCATGGGCGACAAATAAAGCGGAGCAACATATTCGACTCCCAATTATTTACCTTTGCGAAAGGCATACACTTAGGCTCCCACCCCCCACCCCACCCCCATACTCGTTTATAAAAAACTCCACGAAAGATAATACATCGCACACAGGGACTGAGGTAGACGTATTGTCCAGCACATACATCCAAATTTACGAAAAATAAAATAAATGTTTTATTTATCACAAAAAAACATGATTACATTAATATATAGTTTGACAAAAAATACTTCACATACTAATCTTCAGCCGCCTCAGCCAGAATTGAGCCCATTATAATCAACCTCCCAAACAAAATCTGGTCATAAATTTGAACTGGTTCACTCATTCGGCCTTAGAACTGACCTTCATGATAAGACAATTATCCCAAATCCAATCAAACTTACAAAGAAGAGCAGCTGCCTCCCCGTGCATCTCCTCTGGTCTGACTTGTAGATCTCGATTGTGGCAGGCCAGAATCACCTCCATCTCAGTCAAATGGTGAACTAAGGCCCTCAAAGACGGTCAATAAGCCTCAACAGTCTCTCTTCAAACTGCATCAGGTTCTGCAGCACCACTAAAAACTTTTGGCACCCCATGGCTGGTTCATTGGAGCCTGAAACCATGCGAAGGATTGGGCCACCAAAGCCAAAGGGATAGGAAAAGAGAGATGGTCCCCTTAGGGCCAAAGACCTGGCCTCCTGACAGATGATTGGCAGGTTTAGCGTCATTCGACCACACAACCTCCCGACTCTCCAATCAGCCGTCTGAAAGGCCAGATGACCGTATCTCACAACTACATGACTCGAGTTCAAGCATGGACTAAAGTAAACCCACCGTACCTATGTTCCGTAGTGGCACAATATGTAATAACGTGTAGACCCTTTCCTATAAATAAAGGGTCAATTTCATGAATAAAGATTACGCAATTTTTACTATAGAATATGAGCAACGAGGATTAAATGAAAACAAACCAATGATAGAGGAGATCTAAGAGCCTGAAGGAGAAAGTCAGAAGGCACACACATAGGCTCCCGGCCCCCCCCCCCCCCCCAACATACTTGTTTATAAAAAACTCCACGAAAGATAAAACATCGCACACAGAGACCGAGGCAAATTTACTTTTTTTTTATCTCCGACATTCTATTCCTTGGTCGTCTCTACGGGACAGATTTAGATCTAATAGTCTAGATAGGTAAATACATAAAATTTGAGTGATTTTTCTTCATTATTTTTATATTTTTAAAATGGGACTACCAATTTATATGCATGATTAGTTTTTTAATTTTTATATTACGATAGTTTGTCATTTCATAGAAAAAAAAATATGAATACCATAATACATGAATAAATTTTATCATAATAATTTATCAAATTTTCTTTAAAAATGATATTTATTATAGGGGCATTTACATTTACAAATTTACTAAGTCAAAGTATCATGAATTAAAATATAAAAGTTTGTGTGTGGAAGTCTAATTTTGATGGATGATAAACATTAAGAGCATTAAGTTCCACACTTCAAACATTGTGCTGACCCGACCATTGTAACTAGTTTAATAAAATATTTAGAAGGTAAGGGATGTCAACTCACCTCTTGTCATTGCATAAAAGAGCATTGCACAATCAATAAGGCTTAAAATAAGATAATAAGAGTTGACAATGGATGTGCACATGGTTCCCATAATTGAATACTCCGATAAAATAATGTGATTGTAAGTATAATTTTTTCTTAATAAATTTATTTTGTAGATCTTGATTCTCTATATTTTCTTATAAAAGAGCACAAGATCTATGTATCTGGCATAGTTGAGGGAAATGAATCATTTGGTTCTTTCTATCCATCAATAATCTATATTTTTATATAAGTAAAGAAAATAACTCCTTTAAGCGGTTTGTTCTGTCATTTATGTATGTAATTAGGTAGAAGAAAATTTTAAGTCAAAAAGTGATGAGTAACTCATATATTTTCTAATGAACTAGAGTAAAGTTCACTAGATTATCTATGTGATCTTAGTTCCTATGAAGTTATGATACTAAGCGGTCTAACAATTAGATATGCAAATCTTACAGGCAACTAATGTGTGCGTTTGTAAGTGCTTCTGAAATTTACACGGGCAATTAGTTTATTTGATAGAAGAGAAGAATTTTTTCTTCGCAATAAAGTTTTCAAGAATATAGTAGAGCCATACATTTAATTTTTTTTTTAAATTAAATAGTTTAAGCAATTCATTAAATAAGTAGAATATATTTGGAAAAGCTTTTTAACCATTGCATTTTGAATCATAGTTTGATGATTGTTTTATGTATTGTTTACAATGGCAATTGCGGTGTATATCATGTAACACTTTTTTTTAACTAATTTTAGAGATTTTTTTTTTGAGTTATACTAGATTATAAATAAATTATTAAGAACTTTTTATATGTAGATTTATTTCATAATAATCTTGATTCATAGGCCTTTTTATTATTGCGATAATATATTAATTATTTGTGTGAATCTATTTTTCTTATTAATTCCATTTTACATTCCTTTTGAATGTATAATTTATATTGGAAGAAGTAACATTGTTCTTATTTTGACAATTGAATTGCATTGTTTGTTATATTTATTGTACTATATCTCTCATAATTAGTTGTTTTAATTGCACTTACTTGATGTATTAATGTTTTAGTCTATTGCATTATAATTCTATGCTCAAACTACAATCAAAATTTATTCAAGCTTATATTAATTTATCTTTGAATTATATTCAAACATTATTTGAATAATATTCAAATTATATATATATATATATATATATATATATTAGTTGATCTATAATCACACAATATTCAAATCTTATTGGCATATAACCAGGATGAGAAAATTAGAACATGAATCAAATCATACATAAAATTTATTTTTATATCAATGTGGATCGCAACGGGCTTTAAATAAACATGATATAGGAGAATTATAATTTCAAACTAATTCCCTTATATTTTTCATGAGAAAATAAATAGCAAATACATTTCTTTAATATTTTTTTCTTATCAGGGAGCATATAAGATGAAATTTCTAAAATAATTAAGGCCTCTTTTCAAGGAGGTTTGACGTCGAATGAAGTTCTTTTAAAAGACATGTTTAAGAAATGAACACCAACGTCTGCGATCTAAAACGACGAAAAAATATTGTTATATTGAAGCAATTTCAGAAAACATTGTATTATCAAAATGAAAATGAATCCACATGTTCACATTCAATATAACTAAGTAAAATTTAACTGTCTTGTTAAACAAGACCTAACTAACATGAAACATACTTCACACACCCCGTCCAAGTTGCTGCACAGTGCATACTCTTCGCAGTACCCTTGCCTGCCTTCTTGGAAGCCTCGAGCTTGTCTGCACTTCTCCATCATCCCCCTCCTCTGATTTCCCGTCAAAATAAACCCAAACGTCCCGCAATCAAACCAGAAGCAAAGCTTTGACCCGCAGGAATCATTAAAAAAGAAAAAAAAAAAAACATTTTTTTTTTCCGGCGCCTTTCTATTCCTTTCTAAACCAATAAAGGAGGCTTCTTTCCCAATCCCTAGAAAACGAATCTCCATCTCCCTCTCTCTGTTCGTCTCAATGGGAGGTATATTGTCATGCTTCCATGAACCGGAGTCTCCCAAGCGTCCGGCTGTGCGGCGAAAGAAGCCCGGCGCTCAGCAAGATGCCATTTTTACGGCGACGGTAGGATCGAGCAGGAGATGGGAGAAAGGGAGGGCGATGAGGTCGGCGGAGGAGTCTCTGATTCAAGAGGCGGCGGCTCTGCTGCTATTGCAGCAGCAGCAGAACGGCGGCGGAGAAGCGGCGATCGGTTTCGACAGGTCCACTTCGCTGAGGTATCCAGGTTTGGGGACGAAGAAGCAACAGGGTGGGTTGCCGAGGAGTTCGAGCTCCAGGCCGAGGTCCATCGCCGACCCTGTTGTTGCGCCGCAGCAGCTTGTGAATCAGGTGAGTTACTGTAAATGGGGATTTTTGTTTGATTTTGGATGGATTGTTGGGCGATTTTTACTTTCTATGGAATTCGGCTTTTAACTATTTGATGTATCTGTTTCTGTATTGAATGCATAAATTTGTTTTTTATATCAATTTGGTTTTATTGGATTAGGAATCAGCCGTTCAAAGTGGTTTGCACATCTGGGATGGTGGTGAGTTTGCAGTAACCTATCAGCACAATTTGAGAGAATTCAAAATCTAAAGTTGGGAACTTGGGTTTATAAATTGAGCGAAAAATCCAATTTTTAAGCAGGAAAAAGGAGTTTCTGCTCCTTTTTCTCAATGTTCTTGATGAATATCTTAGAAGAACAAAGAAAGAAAGAAAGAAAGAAAGATAGGTGGGATGGGGGGTGTAAAGTTATGAATTTTAAGAAAAAAATGTTCATCATGTTAGGAGAGTTGAAGTTGCGGGTAGATCTTAACTTGTTGCATAAATAGTTTTGAAGTGAAGAGTTTTTATATGGAGTTGAAAGTGTCTATCATTAAACTTTGATGGTCATATTTATTATTATTTTTTTAAACTTCACTGAAGAACTTTATCAAGTATGGTTTTGACCTGGCTTTGTTGCATTGCCATTTTAGAATAATAGTTGGAATGGTTCTTACCAGATTTGGTATATTTGCTATGACCTTATCCATTCATTAAGAGCCTCCCTTTTTGTTTTTTTTGAAATTTGCAGAGCCCTTTCTGACCATGAAATATTATATGTTTACATTACTCATATAATAATTGCTTTGAATTTTTCCACTTAATTGTGTGGTAATAACATCAGTCCTTTAAAAAAAGGATGATTTATGCAAAATTGTGTCTTTGCTGAACAATAAGTAGCAGTTTATGTGGAATTCTTTTAGCCTTCCAAAGACATGTGAGTGTTTCAATTACCCTGAAATGAAAATGTGTTTACCGAGTTGCAAGAATTGAGCATCTACAATCTTCTGCACATTTTTATTAAAAATGTTCAAGAATTAGTGCGGCTTTGATATATGTTTTTGATAGGAACGGGATAGTTTCTATAGAAATTATGAAGGATAGATTTTATTCCACCGATACTAAATCAAAATGGTAAAATCCCGAATACATAAAGAGGTGGGAGATTTTCTCCCAAACACTAGCCCTAAGATGCAAGGCAACATTCACATGATCTAACCCTAAACATATTAAGTCCTATTTATACTTCACGATAATAACTAATAAATAACTAAATTGTACTTTTAGTTTTACGTCTAACATAAGTCTAACAATTTTCTCATTAATTTCAACAATCCTATCTAATAGAGTTACATTTTTTTATAAAATGTTATTTTGCCCCTTGCTATTACAAATTGCAACATAACCATCTAAAATAGTACATTTTTTGTGTTTTTGACTTACCACTCATTAGTGGTGGACAATCAATTAATATGTTGGTTTGATAAATTTAATTTTTTTTTATTTGATTTACAAAATATTATTGATATAGATGAGGAGATCGTTTTTAGAAAGGGTGATTGAAGTGGAAGTTAGCCATGGAGTTAGGAGTATTGTGCAATTAGATATATCATGGAGGATGTTAAGTAGGATGTTTGATAAGCTTAAAGAGATGATTATATTAGATAGATGGTGAGAATCGTAACTATTGAAGAAAATAGAACAAAAAATAGGCTTGTTAGGTTAATATGGGGATAAAAGATGAATTAATATAGTTGATATATATGATTCATGTTGAATATTTAGTTTTAAGGAGTATGTGTCAAATGGGCATTAAAATTAGTTTTGTTATGCTTGCGGTTAAATTGGTTATCAACTCAAAGATTGAGCCTATTGAAGGGGGCTAACTAGTTGGTATTTCTTCACCAAGGTTTTTTCACCTATACGTTGTGGGACTTGATTCAATGTTCTCATGTGTCTTAATGACCTTTCAAACATGTGAGCTCGCCAAATCAACCATGGATCCTCTCAAATGAAAGTTTTTTTCGACATCACTATATATCATACTTGAGGTGCCCACTCAACCATATGGAACCATTGAAGTCAACCGCTTATAAACCTTTTCTAACTATGTTAGAGGACAAAAAAGACCTATGGAACTACAAATTGCATGAACTACTCAATACTAGCCAAACCTGAACTTGGCTACTGCTTATTATTGTGTATGGACCTAGTGAGAACTAATGTTTAGTTCGATATACTGGTGGTCTGACCTATTTTTAACCCAAAAGCTTTTAAGAATATGGGAGAAGGCCAACCACTTAACATTGGGTTTTCATGTATTTGTTGTGGGACTAGGTCCAATGATCTCACAGTTCTTACCATTTAGGAATTTAAAGGGTAGTGAAATGGTAAAATAGCTAGGAATTTTACAGAATAACTAGCCAAATAGAGTTAATGAATCATCTATCAGTTAAAATTTAAAAAAAAAAAAGGTGAATCATAAAGCCAACTAAACTTATTTAAGCTAAGGCTACTGATGATGACATGCATAACTTTTTTTAAAGATTCCTTTTCTTTTGTAATCATGTTCTTTGCACTCAGTAGATTGGCAAACCCTCATGAGATTGGCATTTCTACATTTGATGTATGTTAAATTTCTTTCAAAATAGTTTATGTTCTTGTTTTAAATATGATTTTCTCAGTTTTGTGGAATTTGTTTTCTCCCTTATACAGAAAGCAAAAATAGAAGATTTAGAAACTAGCCATTTTGTTCTGGTTCATGGAGGTGGCTTTGGGGCATGGTGTTGGTACAAAACTATAGCGTTACTGCAGGATGCTGGATTCAAAGTCAATGCAATAGACCTTACTGGTTCTGGGATTCATTCTTTTGACCCAAACAAAATTACAAGTCTTTCCCAATATGTAAAACCATTGACAAGTTTCCTTGAAAACCTCGGCGATACAGACAAGGTTTGGTTTATTTCGTCTCTGTTAAGCTTAATTATCTTGCTTATTTAGTAATGTAATTTATGTGATTGGTTTTAATGCCTTGATTTTGTTTTAACATTAAGATGACTATTCATGTCATGACAGTGATGCTTTATTCTCAGTTGGGTCATTATTTTGCACCAAGTTTATTAAGGTTTTTATCTATCAGTACCTGTAGTTTTTTATTTTGCTGGTTGGTGAATACAAGTTAGGACAATATATCCATTTATTATTGTGTAGACACCCTGACACAACTTGATTGATTCTCGTTTCGAGTTGGTTATGTGCATGTTTTACAAAGTTAAATTTATGTTATGTTTTCAACATGTTTAGTAAAAGGATCAAATCTGAGATGTTTTCTTGTTCCCCTTTCATTTCTATTATTTGGATTGAAAGAAATGCTAGATGCTTGCTTATCTGACAAGAAAATTGAGGTCCTTAGGTTTAAAATCATCATTCTTGCCTGCATTTGGATCAACAAATCTAAATGGAAATGGCATTCAGAGTTAAAAAAAATTTGGAGAAGAATCCACTAGCGGAAATACCATGAGAGCTTACCATTTAAGTTTTGTTCTATTTCTCCTTTCTTCAGGTTTTGGCATTGTTTTTTCTTTAGATCCTTGTTTCTTTTTTTGTAATTTTGGGGCATTTACGTACATACCTCTCAATTCCTATTTATCTACATTTCTAACCCTAACCTTTACTTATTTACATTATTCCACCTAAATATTTTTTATCACATAAAAAATACCACTTCTAAATTTTAAATGTTAAATACACCTTTTCATGTATAGGCAAGACGGGAGAAATGTAAAAGTTGAAGTTTAGGTTTTAATTTGTAAATGCATAGGAATTGTGTGGTATGTATGTTAAATCTTCCTTTACTTTTATGAGTAGTAAGAAGGACCCGTTCATCTTTTCCCTGAAAAAAATGTTGAAAAAAATGCACCATTGAACTTGTTATACTACATGCAAAACAAAATGGCATCTAACTCCAACAGCCTCATCAGTCATCACAATGTTTCTAAGTCAACATAGCTATCATCATCTGGTTCATAAGGAAAAATAATTCATTGTTAGGATTCGAAGTACAACCAAATGAATCCAATGGTTGGTACTCATTGCATTTAACTCCAACAATCACCAAAATAGCATCAACTAAGTTCTCATACAAGTAATAAAATTTGATTCTTATCACTAACTTTTTGATTTGTATTCTTCAAACCATAATGTTATAATTAAAATCTTCTTCTTTCTTTGCCTTATCCCATTTTTTAAATCAACTTTATGAATCACATCTTTCAGTTGCTTCTATTGAATGTTAATCGTGGCCTATTATTTACACATAATTGTGAACAACGAATATTCATGTAATCTTAGGCATACACCATTTCTTTTCCGATCCCTTGACAATATTTTTATCAATTCTGTCTAATTGATGTCTTTTTTTATTTCATTTTTTTTGCATCGGTCTAAATCACTTAAATCTTTTTCATTCACTTTGGCTTTAATAAATATGACCTCATCATTTTCTCTAATAACTATTCCTTAAATAATCCTTCATAATTTTGTACATTTTTATTTTAACATTCTCATTTTGTTACACTCAATTTAGACATCAATGACTTATTTGCAGCTCAAGATTCAGACTCATATGACATCGATAACCTATTTCTGATTATCTAAAATATACTTTAAAATTCTGTGATATTACACTTGAACTCTTTAGGCACTTCTCTATTTTAATCATTCAACCTTAACTTACATCATCTATATCTATATTTGTTTTCGAATAATATTGAATTATAATTGTTGATATCATGCCTACAAAAAGTATAGATTATGTATTTAGTCCTTAATCTACCGATTATGTGGTCTTAATATTTTTTAAACATGTTTTCATTATTCTAGTTTTCATTGGTTCAGTGGATGACTCACAAATTATACTAATATCATCTGTAAAAAAGCATTCACCAAGCAAGTTTAATATATTTGTTTTAAACATCTTCCAAAACAATACAAAAGATATAAATTCAGCATTGATTCTTGATATAAACATATGGTTATTGGAAAATCCCTTCGTTAAAATTTTCCATACTTGGTTTTACCTTGTTTCCTTGTTCTAGTCGCTTCTTGTTTGATGGGATTGTGATTTATCTTGTATCACGGCTTGTTGGCTTTATGAATCGCTATTGTGATGAATGGATTTAATTGGGAGCTTGTTGATTGGAAATGGTTGGAATAAGATCTTTTAAGTTTAGAAATTTGCTATGTTTGTCGAGATTCATGAAGGATGAATTAAAACATATTTTATTGAATAGATTTTGATAAATTTTGATTAGTTTATTATTTTGGGTTCCTTAGAATCTATATTTTGGATCCTTGAGACATGTAAAATGAATTGAATATTGTGAGAATTTTAGGGTGTATTTGAGATCAAATTTCTTATTTATATTGTTTTTAAAAGCATGTTTGTTTGGTGTATTTTTTATATGTTTTTATTTTGTATCTAAAAGCATATTAACATTTTTTAAAAAAACTCAAAATAAGTTTTAGGTGTCTTAAGTATTTTTAAAAACAGTCATATTTTAATGAAATAGCTAAATATGTTTTATTTCAAATCAAAACATAAAAGAAAACAAAATAAGAGCAAACAATAGAAAATAAAAAACAAAAGTGATCCCAAACGGCCCCTTGGTTTTTTTTCAATTCACGTGTATGTTAGTTGGATGTGTATACTTCAAGTGCTTCATAAATGCTAACAACTATTTGTGGAGGTGAGTCTCCTTGTACTGATGTTAGGGCTTGTTCCTCATTTGGGTGAATTCTATCATTGTTCAATCTTCAATTTATTTGGTTGCTATTTTTTTTTTCATGTGCGCATTGACATTTTGCTGAATGTAAGGTGTGTTGGATTTCATTTTTATAATGTGAAATTGATAGCTTGTGGGTTAGTGGAGTTTCAGATTTATTTTTATGTAAGTTGGGACTTGTTAAACTGATTGCTGTTTTTTTTTTTTTTAGTGTATTTTTAGTATGCATCCATTCTATGTTTCATTAGTAATCCTAAGCTGCACTAAATTGGTCTTAATGCATATGTTTTTGTGGCAATGTTGACTAATAATAGAGCTTGTTAAGTGAGTTAATAAAAATAAATAAACAAAAGATATTACTAAAACAAAGATAGGTGATGGTCCTATATGATGACAACTTAACAATTGGGAGGATCAAAACTATATATATACATTCAATGGGAAGCAAAAATTTGAGATATTTTCTTAATGAATCGTTAATTTTAAGTACTAGTTGAAGAATGCCATTTGTTTTTTCACAAAAAAGTTAAAATTATTGAAACAAATTTGTTGGACATGCTCTAATTTATTAGTGATTTGGTGTGTTATTGCAAGTGAAAGTTAATCAACAAAGTTAGTTCTACCAACTGAATTAGATTTGATATTATTTTTGATTCTTTCTCCCTTGACTCGTAAATTTATAATAAATTTGTTAATGACGGTGGAGTTACACAGATACGAGTTTTATAGTTTGGTCAATGTGGTTGTTTGTCCTTTAAAGCATGGCATAACCGTGTGATTTGTCTTTTCTTCATCATCTTTATTATTTATCTAATCATATAGAACAAGGTTATAATTCTTAATTACTAATCCTTAGGATAAATATTAGCATTCCAGACTTTAAATTACTTTTTTCATATCATTTGCGTGATTTACAATAACTTATGTGATTTGCATGATAGAGATTCAATGAACTCTAACAATTAACTTTGAAAATTATACATCCATTCCTAATGATCTTATGATATATTTGAATTCCGAAGATGGTCACAACATTTATGGGTTGTGAGTAGTTTCTCACATATCATGTTTTGCTAGCTTTATCAATCAATTTTTGCTATTCATAGGTTAAATTAGGAACTTATGGATACTTTTTGATATTGGTTAGAACAATAAATTTTAAAATTTAAAACTTGTTATGCATGCACGATGGATGATCGTATTTCAATAGATCTTGGAAATTTATGAAAAGTTCCATATTTTAAGTTTTTCATTGGTTGTAAATTGGATCTGCGAGGCATGAAAAAATATCTGAGTATTGAGTATTACAAGTAAATTTTAATTTTCGTAAACTTTTATATGCATGTTGGGTTGCATGCATATTCTTTGAGAGTTTTGCAGATGTTGATGACTACTTTTGTGGGCCACTCCTTGTATTGATATGAGGTCATTTACATTAATGTTATAGCCTAAATTTGATTGTTATTACTATTATTATTAGTAGCACTACAAACCTAAAAAAAATACAAAAAAATATTATATATATATATATATATATATATATATGCATACATACATAATTGATGAGTATTATTTTAAAATAATTTTATTGACCACAAGGCTATAAAGCTTTATAATCAATTAAAATTATTAATTAAAATAATAGAATAAAAATATATTAAATTCTATTTAAATGAATATTTTAATATAAATAATAAGATTTAAATATTGCCTCTACCCTTAATATCCTATGGCTGTGTGATTGTATGTCAAAATGCTCATTTGCGAATAGCTCGTGTTCGATTCGCTAAACAAACGAGTCGAACACGAACAATTGTATTTCAAAACGAGCCGAACATGGCTCGGCTTGTTTACACTCCTATTTATGGGTGGCATATGTAATAATTACAACTTTTGCAGATCTCTACTGTATATTTCAGATGTGAAGCATAAATTCTGAAATTGGATTTTGAAAAATGAGCCTTACTTTGATTCTTATATCATTTGTGATGGGTTTTTGGCAGGTGATATTGGTCGGCCATGATTTCGGCGGCGCTTGCATATCTTACGCCATGGAAGCTCTCCCAACTAAGATTGCTAAAGCTGTTTTTCTAGCTGCAGCTATGCTGAAAGATGGGCAAAATACTCTTGATATGTTCTCTCATCAGGTCTCAATTAATCTTAATCAAACAAAAAAAAAATCAACTATTTATATGATTTATGCACATTTCTATCTTTCATGATGGCGACTAACTCTTTGTCGGGGCCATTGTAGTCTCAGAGTCTATAAAAATGTTAATTTAGTTTCTAGATTTACTCGATCTAAGTTGAAGTCTTCATATTCTTTAAATAGATGACTATTTTAGTCCCCATTAAGGAAGTTTGGAGACTAATCAGGCAAGAGTATAGCTATTTATTTGTTGTCATTTTAGTTACAAAATTTATACAAGGGCTAAATTAGTCCCCAAACTCTTCTAAGTGTAGCTAAAATAGTCCTCACTATGGGTCATTTTAAGCCATATTAAGGGTTTGTTTGGGGCAGCTGCAACTGTTTGAAGAAGCAGCTTATCATCTGTGAAGCTGCTGCAAAAGAAGTTGTTTTTCAAAAAATTGCGGTGACAATTATAATTTTTTTCTTCAAAAAGATATCACAGCTTTCTGACAACCACCACACTTAGCTAAGTCAGGTTGCAAAACACCACAGTTTTTTGAATAGCAGGCAAAATATAGTTTTGTCCAACACAAAAAAGTGCAATGCGACATAGTGCCTCAAACTCACCTTAAAAGAGCCTAGGTACTAAATTGTCACTTTTATACATTTTGAAACTAAAATGACCTCCTATAAGGAGTCAATGGACCATTTTAAATCTTCTCTCAATTTGACATTTTTATTGACTTTATGATCTAAGTGATTACATAAATAGTGAGGACTATTTTGGCCCTTCCCTCTATAAATTAAAACTCAGTTTTTTAGAACTCAAATAACTTATATATTTCCTTACAAACAGCAAGGTAACAGTGATCTTTTGCGACAAGCTCAAATATTTCTATACGCAAATGGAAAAAACCAACCTCCTACAGCTATCGAACTGGATAAATCATTTTTGAAAGATCTGCTATTCAATCAAAGCCCTGATAAGGTAAAATTCTTCTCTTCTCCTCCCTCTCCAACTGTAATTCTTATCTTTATAATCTATCTTCTGTTCTTTTCAAAGGATGTAGCTCTGGCTTCAGTTTCCCTGAGACCGATTCCTTTCGCTCCAGTTTTGCAAAAACTCGAGCTCACCGGCACGAACTATGGTTCGGTCAGGAGATTTTATATCGAGACTGCTGAAGACAATGCAATTTCGCTTCCCCTGCAACAGATCATGTGTGAATCTGACCCGCCGGAGAAGATTTTTCGCCTGAAGGGATCGGATCATTCTCCATTCTTTTCAAAGCCTCAGGCTCTGCACAAGTTGTTGGTAGAGATTGCAAACATTCCTAATGCTTTAACTCAACAAACCAACAATGATGAGTGATAAATCTATGATTTACAGAGTTCCTATAAAGTTTTCAGAAGGATGCTGTAAGTGTAGATAAACATATAGAGAATCAGTTTTTTACCCTTTACACGTCCAACAGTATGTTTGTTGAGATATTTATTGACATAATGGAAGAGTTCTGTCTTTTGCATTTCTTCTTTGTCAGCTAAAAAAATATTCCTACTGTTAAACCCTTTGGGGCATTTACATACATTACACTCAATTCTTATGTATTTACATATCTAACACCTAACCTTTATTTTTTATCATTATACCACCATTTTAACTTTTTAAAAGTGAAATGCACCTTTTTTTCATGCATAGGTGAGGAGGCATGTATGCAGAAATTGAAATTTAGGTGGTCTATATACGTAAATACATAGGAATTATGTGGTAAGTACGAAATTATTTTTTGATTCTAGTATAATTAATGTATATTTTGAGTTATTTTAGTAGTGAACAAGAGTATATTTTTTAAGACAATTTTCTTTCTACTAATGAAAATTTTGTGATCATTATTGTTACTTATACAATGAAGAAAAAGGATTTATGTAGTCGACCCCATGTAGTGGGTTTAAGGCTTTGTTGTTGTTATTGTTGTATTATTGTTACTTATATATTCTCTCACTAAAATAACTAAAAGTTATTTTTTTATAAATTAAATAATTTCTGTATGCATATGGTTTTTCTTTGTAACTCAAATTTAGTGCATTAGAGATTTGTTAAGCAAAGCCATTAATGATTGGGACGATGATAGTTTTTAGTTGGATTTAGGGTCCGTTTAAGGTAGCCGTTTGGTTCGCGCGTTTTGGCAGCTTATCCGAAATTACGCTTAAGTTTTTACACTAAACGCAGGCCGCGGGTCGACCCCCGCGGCCGGTATGTCGGCCGGTATGTGGGCCGCGTTTCAAGATAAGCTGCTTATCCTGAAACGCACAAACTGCCCCAAACAGACCCTTAATCTCTAAGTTTGTAAGGAAATACACATTGGTCATAGTCATAAAAGAAGAATCTGACGATGGACCAAATTGAATGCTTACTTTTGTCTAAGAATTAATTTATTGTTTAATAATTATTTAAATAAAAATACTTATTTACTGCTTATTTAAAGGTTTGTTTAATTTAACTCACCCTATTATTTTATAAAATTTATGAAATAATATTGAAATGCAACTAAAAAAAGACACCACCAAATTAATGGAGATTTTTGGCTCAATAATTTAGATAATTTTGAAATGTTATTTCATTTATGATCTCGAATACTTTTTAAATTGAAAAATATTATAAATTGTATATTTAAAGCATAAAATAAATAGGATTGTAAAATTAGATTCAATTTATAACATACCAAATTTGATGGGACTATAAAGATTTTCAAGCTGCACTCTTATGAGAACCAACTAGAAAGTAACATAGAGATAACATTTGTAAATAAAAAAAATAAATAAAAATAAATAAAACAATTGCAATAAATGATAATGTAAAAATGTTATATCACACTCTATCTACATAGATTTTATTTGGGATCATTTTTTATTTTATTCTTATTTTAAAAAAAAAATATTTATTTGATGAGCTTTTAAAATGTTTTTTTTATAAATAAATTAATTTATTTTTAAAATAATCAAAATAAAATTTATATATTTTTTATTGTTTTTAAAAATAGACAGCACTAACAAACATATTTATTTTAAAATAGAATATAAATAAAATAAAATTAAAAATAAAAACGATCCCAAATGACCCCTTAACTTTCACTTGAACAATGATTATAGTAAATATTCTATCAATAGATATTTAATATTTTTCTAAGCAATCTATATGGATTCTATTCTTTTAAGACTCAATACTTTTTTACATGTCAAAACATGTTTTGTAAGGATGGGAAGTTTTTTTTCTTTTTTTTTATTTTTTTAGCCAAAAAATTTCATTAGACCTTACAAACAATTACAATAATTTGTTCTGTTTTATAAATAATCATAACAATATCTCGAACAATCTTATCCTATCATACATGCTTGAATTTGAGAGGAGGTCTGTCTAGGGGTGTAAGCGAGCCTAACCTAAGCTCGTGTTCGACTCTTTTATATTTCAAGCTCCAAAAATGTGTTCATGTTAGACTTATTTTCTTATCAAGCTGAAAAAATGTGTTCATATTCGGCTCATTTGCTTAGCGAGCCTAACACGAACCATTCACGAACAAATAGTCATTTTGACAACCCTAATCAAATAGCCATAAAATGCTATAGATTGGGCAAGATTTAAAACATCATTTGAATCTAATTTAATATTTTTTATTCTATTTTCTTCATTAATACTATTAATTCATTATAAATCTTTTATATATATATATATATATATAAAATTGATAAGTAGTATTTCGAGCCGAACACGAACGAACAAATCTTTACTCGTGTTCAGCTCGTTAACTTTGCGAACAAGCTGAACACGAGCTTTTTAATGAGCCAAACACGAGTTGTTCGCGAACGACGAGCCATTTTGACAGCCCTAGGCCTGTCGTATCATACATGCTTGAATTTGAGAGGAGCCTACCCTTTCATATATGCTTGAATCTGAGTTGGCGCGCTTAGGATAATAGGATGGATCTCAAACAGTTAAATTTAGTTCTAAAATGAGTTTAATCCCATAATGATGTAAACAAAGCCCATGACCACGAGAGTATAAGCTCTTTCTAATAAAAAACATTTGTTTTCATTTAACAACCTCATTTTATTGTATTATGTATACCCATGAACATTGATGAAATAAATCATGATTTTCAGGTAAGTTCTGAGGACTGAATTGAAACACATGAACATGGTCAATGCAAAGAAATATTATACAAGTATTATATTGGGATTGAATAAGATTGTACCAACTATTGAAAGGAGAGAGCAATCTCAACTTCTTCTCTTGGGAATAAAACCCAACATGCACTGTAGTGATTATCATGAAAGTGACTGACAATCAAGCTACAAGATATTAGGCCAAAAGTATCATTGTAAATCACAGAAACCGGATGAAGAGAATTGTAACATAAGGATGTTGTTAAAGGGTTATGTTTGGAAACAATATAATTTCACGCGCACGCGTGCGTGCGTGCACACACATACAAATGGTGAACATCTTCATTCATAAATATGGGTAAAAAACAAACTTTTTAGAAATTAAAAGCGAACATGAATAACCCGCTTACATCTTTCCTCTCTTCGAATCTCTGCAAAAACTATTTGTATGGTGATAAAAGCCCTTCATTTCCTACAAATCTTAGAAAAAACATTTTGTATGTTTGAAAATTTTTCAATCCCAATAAGTTATTTTTTCTTCCAAATCTTTATTCAATCAATGAAGAAAATCTAAGACATGTTCCTACATGAGTATTTGATTATACTTTAAACTATCTTTTGGACAACTCCTTTAAATTCATAAAAGCATATCCATCGCTTGTTCATAATCAATAAAAGTACTTGAATATTCTATCACAATCATAATACCTAAGTGTGTATGCTTGATTACAATATATTTCAAAACACATTTTTGGAGATTGAAATAAATTCCTTGCATCATATCCTAGGTGAACATTCTAGTTCTATGAAAGAGATATGTTAGCTTAATTATGTATTTAACTTAAAAATATTTCGATCAATTTTAAAGGGTCCCATTGGGTAAATTTTATAAAAGTATCCATAAGAGGAAGAAACCCATTGTATGAGTTTTAAATTTTGAAATATTGGAATGCTTGTCCAATATAAAAAACCTTTGCTTGTTTTGCCACCCTATTATAAAGCAGTCATAATACAAAAAAGCCATGGTAAGAAAAAAATTGCCTGGTTACAGAAAAGGAAAAAATTCTATTAATCGAGATTATTCTCAATTTTCCTTAGTGGAATTATCCCCACATTTTTCTTAGTGGAGCTATTCTCACGTTTTTCATAATAATACCAAGATTATTCTCAATTTTCCTTAGTGGAGCTATTCTCACGTTTTTCATAATTATCCTGCATATGCAATGCCTTAAACCCAAAGACAAAAACTCTCAAACACTAAGTCAAGGTGGCTCACATAAATACCCTCATAAGTTGATGTTGTGGGGTAAGCATGTCAAATACGTTTTACATTACAATTTCATATTGGATGCTCAAGTTTGGTGAAATTAATAGGTATTGATTTATTTGAAAAATGTGAATAAATACATTACAATCGACAATTCTCTACCCAATATTAGCAAAAGAAAAGAATTTAATTTTTCTGGACATTCTTATGACTCATGTTCCCTCCTCAAAACAAAACAAAAATTTAATATATCATCAATTAAACATCTTTTTTTGTTTTTGTTTCACTCAATTTCTCCTTGACAAAATAAGTGTGTTAAAAAACTTCAATAAAATGCAACACCATTTCATTCCCATTTTATTTCCCCTCTTTCAATTCCTTCAAACCAAACATACTATTAGCTAAAGGAAAAACTCCTTTTTTTCACATGGCTAGAATAAAATTTTAGAATTACTCACTTTCCATTCCTCAAGTACAATTCTACCCATTTCAAATGTAAGCATTAAACTTCATCAATAACTCCCGAAGACGCTAACATACGAGTATGTCAATGAATCAAAATGTTCAAGTAAAGCTGCTTCACGGTTCCTAATCCATCCATCCATTGAGTCATCGGCCAATGGCCTCCATCCCTTGAATAACAAATCAAATAAACTTTTTGTTGAATCCATCCAATATAAAACAACCCAGAAATATGAATTAGTACAATTTAAAGTATCTACACCTTTTAAATGGATTGAAATTTTACATTTTAGGGACATTTACAAACATAACACACAATTCTTATGAGTTTACATATAAACTTTGCTATCTACACACATGACACACGAACCATTAATATCAGATTAAAAAATAACTCCATTACCACTTTTTAAATTTGAAATATACATTTTCGTGCATTGGTTTGAAGGACTAATGGGCTATGCATGTAACGATGAAAGCTTAGGCATGAGATATGTAAATATATAAGAATTGTGTGCTAAGTATATAAATTTCCCACATTTTATTCTATCCGTTGAAGCATACTTCAAGTTCACCAACCCAAGGAGGGCAAATCCACCATCCACCAAAGCTACCTAGAGCCGCCGCAAAATATCAAATCATCTTTGGCTTCAACTATCTTAAGTTTGATGATGAATTACCATTATAAATTGGAAGGCCAAAGTAGTGAGGAATCACACAAAGCCAAAATAATAGAAAGATAGTATTTCATCAAAGAATAATATAAGTTGAATGCTCCTACATCCCCTTATACCTTATAATCAGCTATTCCCATTGATTAAGAGTACATGTTTCAAATTTTGCTGTCTAAGCTTCAATTACAGTAGGATAATTTAAACAAAGCTCAAAATTTCAGAAGCAATTTAGCTAACATGAAAAGAATGTTTCAAAAAAGTGCTCTTGCGGATCAATTAATAATTCCATTTGGAGGAAGAACAGAACAGTTATTATCCATTCATCTCAGCTCTTATATGTATCACTGAAGCAAAAAAATATAAATAACAGAAATGAACTGAGGGAATGAGAACCGATACCAAAAATACGATCCATTTGTGATCGAGATCAAACGAATCTCCTTTTGGATTTCGGTTTCTTAACAAAGCTCAGCCTCAGCTTCTTCAGCCGTTTCCTCTTCCTTGCCATCTTCTCCGGCAATGTCTCCCTTTTCTTCTCCTTCTTCTCCTTCTTTACTTTTGCATACCTCGGATCTACCTTGTACACCTTGGAAACAACTGGCAAACCCTTGGCTACAGCTTCCTTAAACAATCCATTCGCCCAGTTAACCTCATTATGAGTTGCTAACTTCCCTATCAGTAATTCATACGTCTTGATCCCTGGAACATGCCCATAGCTCTTCATCTTTCTAAAAACCTTCATTGCATGCTCCACCCTCTCGATCCCACACAGAATCTTGATGAATCCATAATAAGCCTTCCTATCAAGTGAATCCCCAAAACCAGCAGACCTCATAAAACCAATCATTTCTTCAGCTTCTGACAACCTAGCAGCCTGGTACAAGCTCCGGATCAGAACTAGGTAGGTCTCAGCTCCAGGAGAGCATCCCCATTGACTCATCTCTCGGAATATCTTCATTGCATCTCCAGTCTTCCTTATCTTGCACAAATTATAAATAAGCACGTGAAAAGTCTCCTGATCTCGAGGAATCCCTGTTGATTCCATCTCAAGAAGCAGCTTCTGCGCCTCCGGTAACAACCGGAGCGGATCTTTCTTCCGGCAAAGCCGGCAAACGCAATCAATGATGGAATTATATGCTGGCGTGCCAAGATCAAAACCTCCGCGAATAATCTCTCCCATCAGCCTTTTAGCATCTTCGAGCTTCAGTTCATCACTGTATCCCCGTATAAGAGTGTAGCAGATCTGCTCACTGGGGAAGATTACGTCTGCCAGCCGCTTGACTGTGCGCTCAGCGTGTCCGGTGAATCCATGGCTACAGAGAGCGGAAACGAGAAATGTAAGCGCCGTGAGATCGGGCTTTAGTCCATAATCTCGCTCAATGCAGTCGAATAGATGGACAGCCTGCGAAGCGCGACCGGCACGGATTAAGCGATCGAGAGCTGCGGAAAAGGATTCGCGTCCAGCAGCGAGGCGGTATTCCAGAAGTACGTCATGGATGGCCTTGAAATCATGGCGGCGGCCGAGGTAGTTGATGATATGGGAAAGGGATGTGTCGTTGGCGGTGAAGCCTCGGTGACGGACTAGCCAGCGGAAGAAGTCGATGACGGCGCGACCGGCGGAGGGAGAGATGTTGAGAATCTCGTGGAGGAAAGAGGTGTTGAAGCGGACGTCGGAGAAGTGGAGAGAGAAGTGGCTAGAGAGGTCTAGAGAGGAGGAGTGGTCGGCAGATGAAGCGAAGTTGGTGAGTTCGCCGGAGATAGTGGGGGCGAGATCGTCAGAGGAGGAGGATAGAGATCGGACAATTGGAGTGATATAAGTAGAGGATGAAGAGGAGAAAGGAAGTAGGCGGCGGAGGAGGAGGCCGACCATCGGTAACGGCCTCCACATTTCTTAGTGTTTGTGGGAAGCGGGTAATGATGCGGCAAAACCCTAATGAAGCAACATACCAAATAGGGCTGTGATTGGGCCGTTTAGTGTTAACATCTGGGCTATAGTTTAGCTATGGGCTGAAATATTTAATTTGCAAAATATATTGTTTTGAGGCATTTGGATTCACACCACCCAAATCATATATTTACATTTCTAACGCCTAAACTTCAAAATTTGCATACACGTCACCTTATCTATGTATGAAAAGGAGTATTTCACATTTTTAAAAGGTTAAAATTATGATATATTTGATGTGATATAAAAATTTTGAGCGTTAAAAAGTAAAAATTTAAGTTTGTGTTAGATATGTAAGGACATAAGAATTGAGAGTCATAGTCGAGCACTGTTTGCCACCATCGACAATCGACGACCGCAATTGACCAATGTCGATCGTCGTCAGCCACCACTTACTGACCGTTGCCAATCACTATCGATCGTCGCCTATTCATTGTAAAAAGTTCATACACATGTCAACGTTGTAACTTGAGAGATCTTCTAACCCTTTCCAGCCTGTGGGAGAAATGATTGCAATTGTAATTATCATTATAGTGACTCTTCAGTTGTGTCAGACCCCATGATTTTTCTCTTTATTAGTTTTTTACGTAAAAACTTCTGATGTCATTACTAGTTATTTTTCTCTTTTCTGAGTGTGTGTTAAATTTTCATACCATGCTAAGATGATAATCTACTTCTCTACTTTCGCGAATGTTTTAGCACGCATCATTAACCATGATATAATTGTTATTGATGACTAATCTAAAGCATGTCGTGGAAGATCTATGGAAGAGTTGGCATAGGTTCTCCTTCTCAATTAAGATGCCCAATTTGAATCATATTATAATTATTTCTTATCTAGTTGACGTGAAAATTGAACTTTCAATATATATATATATATATATAAGTCATTGAACCCTAAACACAATGACTAATATATTAAATTATATATATATAATATGCTAAAAATCTACGATTAGAATACGACTAGATTGAAATTTAACTTTGTAATTGTTAAGTGATCACAAATAATTAAAAGAAAAGAAATTTAAATGTTTATTTGTAAGCTCAATGAGCATTGTTTGATAGAACTCGTTTGTTTTTCCTAACAAGGTGCTCGTTCAAAGCTCGAGAAAGGCTCGATTAAAACTTGATTAAGCTTGATATTTATTTTGTTAAATAAGTTGCTCGGTAATAAGACTTATAAGACCTTATATAAACCGATCTTGAGCCTAATTTGAATAAAATAGCTATAAATAAGCTCTTATGCGAACAAATTTTTCAAAGTTCAAACCGAGCTCTATAAAGCTCTTAATAAATGAGCTCGAGCTCGAATTGGCACCTGCTCGATTTACTTTCTTGTCGATTTAGTAAGACATTCAAAATTCCATATGTGTGTCCAACTTAATTTGAATGATGAATCGTCCATCAAATGAACTTTGAACTTGGATTCTTTATTTATTCACAATTAGGGTAGTCAGTGAACTTAAACACTCGATGAAAAACTCAAATTTAGTTTGATTAATCATTGATCATCTTTGCTTAAATTAATAAATAAATAACTTTGAATAATTTTTTAAAACATAAAGGTTAAATGAACCATATTTAAACATTATTGTGTCCTGAAAGAGTCACAGAATAATAATTTAATGTCTTAGCGTTGTACTAATATACAACACACAGAGAAATTTTTTTTCAAAAACAAACACATAGGTTTCTTACATGAAAAAATACTAGAAAAGAAAAAAAATCATAGGGCCTTGCCTAATCAAAATAATCAACTATACAATTATAAGTATATATGTCAACTCTTCTCCTAAATTAGAGAAGATAGAGTCATAATATTGATAATCACAGATGTACAATAGTCATACAGTTTTAATAGACATAATTGGGCTACATAAATGTAGTTTTTAGTGATTGTAGTAATAGTGCGACGCAAATGTCGTAATTGATTGCTACAAATACATTATTTTGTCATAAAGACTATAATCAGTAGTTGTAGTTGCTCACATAGGTCATAGTAACTCACATTAACCTTGATTGGTTGCAATAACATCAGTTAGTCACAAAGACCATAATAGAAAGTTAGAGTAGTAGTTAACTACATAGATCATGGTTGGTCACATCAGCCATGATTAGTAGCTGCGGTAGCAATTAACCACATATATCACAGTTGAAAGTTGTAGCAGCAGTTAGCTGTATCTTGTCAAGACATCAATTTGACTATAAGCTTGTTGAAACCCTAAATCCTAAACCCTAAACCACTCATCTTAGCTCGATGACAATCATATGCATGATTCTTAACTTAGGGATTGTTTGAGATCACTTTTATTTTTTATTTTCTATTTTATTTTATTTATGTTTTATTTTAAATAAAATATATTTGACATAACCAATTATGATATGCTTATTTTTAAAATATTCAAAGCAACAAAAAAAAAAAAAAAAAATCCCAAGCAACTCGTTCCCAATAAATTCGCAGAAATATTTAGTGAAGTGCAAAACAGAGAAACGTCCATTAGTTCTTTTTAATGAGCACTGACTCCGGCAAAATGATGCCCCACCACATTTAGGTCATGTTTTTTAGGGTCATTAACATAAGTACCCCACAATTCTTATGTATTACATATGTAACCCTTAAAATTTCATATTTGCAGACTGTCCACTCAAATATGTGCAGCTAACTTTTTATAATTGAAATACAACTTTTCATGAATATATTTTTAATACCAAAGTATTTATATATGTAACCATCGAAATTAAGGTGTTAGATATGCAAATAAATAAGTAGTGTGTGATATGGGTGTAAATTTTCTTCTTTTTAGTCTAGTTAGAGGAGCATAAAGACAAATTGGCTTACAAAGCAAAACGCATTGAGTGGGGAGCTTTTCAAGGGGTAAGGGAGTGAATGGTGCATTAACATAACATAAAACAATAAGGGAATAAAATATTTGGCCATGGATTGCTTTCTCTTTTACTTTAATTATATGCAAGAGAGATTAGAACCATTTCAACCTATGAATACAAGACATTGTTTCATGGTTGATGTCATTTTAATTATGCATTTGAGCTCTCTCTCTCTCTCTCTCTCTCTCTCTCTCTCTCTCT